TTTGGCATGGCAGAATGCCAGCAAAGAGCGCTGCATTTATAATCTCTAAAAGACATCTCAATTCATCGCAATCTCACAAATGTCTGTTATAACACAATATATGCACAATGAATCTTTCACAATGTCTACAATTCGTGTGTTATAATGAGAGGATTCGTGAGCACGCAGATTTCAGCACTGAATTGCTCAACGCAGCGAACACATGTTATAGCCTAAATAGAAACTCTGCATACGCTTGCACCTGTTTATCGTTTATATTTTATATTAGTTCATGTTGCTTTTGTGCAATAGATGAATAACAATTTATTTGTTTTAGATATTTTATGTTTAGATATTTCTATTTTGCGGGAGTCCCGTGAATCATTTTATTCTCCCGCATCCCGCACACACACGAGTGTCTACCCGCCCACACCAGCACTCGCCCATCTTGTCCCGCGTCGCACTCTGTTGCGTCGGGTCTCGCGGGAGCAGGTCTCTAATCCACTGGCACTTGACTCGACAGTGCGTGTGCTACATCCTTTTTAGATCTCTAGATTATAAAACACTGCATTCTGTCAGCAGTGTAACGCGGCAGTAACGTATAGAAACTTCGGTTTGTAACTATACTCTAATTACTCTTTTGAAAATTATAACGCATTAAATTACTCCGTTACTAAAAAAGTAATCAAATTACAGTAACGCGTTACTAAGTAATGCGTTACTGCCCAACACTGATTATATCAAATTAACTTTATTGCATGTCTAGAATCTTTTTTTAAATGTTTTATTTATACATTTTAAAATACGTTACAAAAAGATACAAAAACAAGGAAAAAACACAACAAAAACACACTTAAATATGTAGCAGTAAACAAATACACTGACGTTTTTTCCAAAAAAAACAAAAAAATCCAGTGCAATCCTTCATACAGTAAAAGCAGTTAAAAAATGGCCAGGTGGGAGAACCCCAAATAAACCAGTAATTGGACAAGGTGGAATATCAACAGAGGTAATGGCTGACAATGAGACAAAAATTAGACTCCAAAAAGAAGACAGGGCAGGGCAAGACCAGAACATATGGATTAGAGTATCTGAACCAGAATGACACCTGTCACACAATCAAACAATGCGAGCCAGCCTGCTCTTAAACCAGTGGGCTCTATGTACCACCTTGCACTGTAAGAGCCTGTGACGTGCGCAGAGAGAGGAGGAGTTAACCCTGTTCAAGACTGCTTTCCATGTCTCCTCGTTAATGTCAGTACCAATGTCTTGGGACCAGACGATGCATAGGCTATTAGAAAAAAATTGCAAATTAACAATTATATTAAATAATTTAGAAATTGACTGTTTAGCACAGGAATCCACGCCCAGTATGGTGTCCAAATCCAAAGGGAGAGGTGCATTTGGAAAGTTGACCATTTTCTTACGCACAAAATCTTGAGTTTGTAAATATCTGAAAAAATGGCCTTTGGGGATATAATGTAAAGGTCACCAATAGAAACCAATCCAAGGTCTCTCCACAAGGCATAAGCACTGTCCAAGATGGAAGGGTAAAACAGAGGATTGGAGTGGACTGGGGATAATAAAGTG